CTGATTAGATTTCTGTCCTGCATCATCCTCCAATCTTCCATGTCTTTAAATTTTACAGAGGCTTTTTGATGCTTTCCTAGTGCGTGGAAGTAGGTGAACTGATTTTACCCCTTTTTTTCCTTCAGGAAAGAATGACTTTCCAATTTTAATTATCAGTTCAATTACCTTATTGATTGTTTTCACTATTTTGTTAGCTTGCTCAACCTGCATTCAAAGCTTCTCTGAAACATATAAGATGTTCTACTCTGGATAAGTTCAAGGAAGCATTTAAGAGGGCCTTGGACGGGCAGGAGGGATTTTCTGTGGCTGTTTCTAAGTGTACCGAGTATTTAATGGCTCGATTTGACGAAGACTGTGCAGGTATGTTTTGGAAATGCCAATCCTTGAGCCAAAATTGAAAACTAAAGCATAAAACTCAAAAGATGAAATACAAAAACTAAGAGTTCAGTGAAATTTTGCTTCCTGCCAATTAGTCAGTCAATTACAATTGAAGATATCATTAATGAGCCTTTTGAATTGGCGTCATTAATATGTGTTTCACTTGTTTGTAAAGTACAATGAGATTAATTAACACGTTATTTATGCAGATGCTACTATCAAACAAGCAAACTGGGACACATCTAAAGTAAAGGATAAACTCAGGCGTGAAATAGAAGCCCATGTTGCTTCAGTTCGTTCTGACAAGATAACTCAACATACTGCACTTTGTAAGGTATAATAGCATATATTTGTTCGTTGTCTCTTCTGAAATAGTTCGGGTTACTAGTATTCATAAATTCAATGTAGTTTTGAGATGTTTTTTTGTTTGAAAACAAAAATTGTATTCAATCCCTATATGTGTTGTACTAACGGTACCAATAGGAGTACACTATCTATCCAAATTATGGACCGATATTGTCCCCACCTTAACCACCTAGGAGAGAGAAGGCCCAATAGACCTTTAGGTGTAGGGTTTTATTACAAAATGCCTCGGTACAATTATGAGTGGACCACCTATATTTAAGCTGTAGATTATTGTTATATTCTCCGATGTGGGACTTACACATCATGACTTGTATCGAGCCACCTAAACTAACAATCTCCACCTTAGTGAGATCCAAGCCAAGGTAACCCTCCCATTTACAACATTCGCACTTTCCAAGAGTACACTCTCACAACTCCACCTTTCGACAAGGATTTTCTTGAGCCTTGCTAGGAGTCCTTGCTCCACCTAGTTGGATGCCACTAGGATTTCCTTGAGCCTTGTCTTTACTCCACTAGCCCTTGCTCTACTAGCCCGCTCCACCTCTCTTCGTCGATCCAAGAATTTTTACTTGAGTCATCTCCTTGAACATGTCAATGGCTCCACTTTGAACCAAGTGTGTTGTAGCCGAACTAGGCTCTAATACCAATTGTTGTACCAAAGGGCCCAATAAGAATCCACTATATCTTTCCAAACCATGCACTAATGTTGTCCCCACCATAACCACCTAAGTCCAATCCTTGGGTTGACTATATTTCCCAGGAACTTGGATGATTCATGATGTAACTATACAATGCAGGAAAGGTTGGAGGAGTTGTTATCAGGACCAGTGAAAGACCTTCTAGAACAAGCTAGTAATGGGACTTGGCCCACAATAAGGAAACTTCTCCAGCAAGAGACTGAATCAGTTTCTTCTGGGAGCTGGAATGCACATCGTCACTTTGATATAGACGAACAAACCAAAGCCGAAATACATGCAAGTCTAGAAAAACATGGAAGAGGTGTGGTTGAAGCTAAAGCCAGGGAAGAGGCTGGAAGGGTTCTGACGTCTATGGTGGCCAGGTAGGAAATTATTACAATGGTAAAATCAGTGGTTTAACCTTGTTTGAGATTTTATCGTGTGCAATTAAGATTTTTTTGTTTTTTTTTTAGGACTTTTCCTATCGAGAGAGGCGATAATATACTAAACTCTCACACACACTACACGGTTGCTAAGACTCGAACCCAAGACCTCGCCTGGAGTAACAAATACTCCAAACCACTACACTAGTGGGTCCTTTGCAACATATGTAGCCATTATTCTGATGATTTAAATTGCCTATAGGTTTTCAAGAAATTTTAGCCACGATTCTGATTCAATCCAACGTGTTTGGAACCCGCGGGAAGATATTAGAGCAATCGCCGAAACTGCTCGTTTTGCAGTATGTCACAATTAATATTACATATATTGAAACTTGAGTTTGAATTTGACGTGAAGTTCTGTTAACTATACTGTTAATTTTTTCAGTCCCTAGAGGTGCTTTCTGTTATGGCTGCGATCCGTTTGGATGGTGATGATCCTGGTGATCATATTAAAAATATTCTATACCTTGCCTTACTGGGTTCCAGAAATGCTCCTACTAATGCTAGAGATAGGCGTGTCACAACAGTTGACATACTGGCCCCAAATACTTGGGAAGAGGTGACCCTTCTTTTATACATTATGTTGCTTGTAATTTTCTAATTTGTATCGCATGTCCAATCTTTTAGAAATTATTGTTCGCATATAGGTCTTCCAAACCAAGACTGTTACTTTCTGGTTCTTAAGCTTCAATACTCTAAGACCATGGGCATGCAAGTGTCTTTGTGAAAAAACAAAAGCGATGCTATATCAGACATATAATTCAAAATGTTTTCATATATCCTTGCCGAAAATGTGGGCTGCAAAGTGCAAAGTGCCTCCCTCCCTCCCTCCCTCCCCAAATCTCTCTGATGTGCTCATTTTGTGGTAGCCTCTTATTCTCATGTAAGCACCATGTAGCTTTTGTGACTTTCCCCCCTCTATACAGGTTCCATCATCGAGAACATTGATCACACCCTTTCGATGCAAACATTTGTGGAGGCAATTCATAGAACATACCGCGGAAATTGTCTCTAAGGCCATTGCTGAACGGGTATGATATTTCACCTTTACATGGTCATGAAGATTTTTTCTATCTTTCTACGTACTATTATATAAAAAGAACAAATAAATGGAAACTGTATAGTTTTGTTTGTCTCCCATAATGTGTGTTATTTGATTGGCTGTTATGGAAACTATTTCATTAATTATGCACCAATATTGATCTAATGCATGCATAATATTGCCAGTCCTGTAGATTTTGTTTAATTTGAAATATAAGGGTCAGTATGATTTTGCTAGAGGAATTTTGTACAGAATGCTGTTATATTTTTTTTTCTCTTTTTAAATTCTGAACGCATCAATGGTACGTAATTGATAATGGTCCCGAGTTAAATTTGTACATACTTGTTGAGGTGTATGCATGGATGTGCGTGTCGTACAAGTATCTTTATCGATGGCTGTTTTGCTTTTCAGGAGAGCAACAGGAGTTTCCTGGGTCTCAATTTCTTTAGCAGACTTTTAAGGTATATATATATATATATATATATATATACGTCCCCTAAATAGATGATGTTGGTGTTCTGTCGTGGAGTTTTATCCTTTGTGTCTGAGTTGCTATCTTTGTTGCTCTTTTACTCATTGAAGCCCTACGGTGCAGGTTTGTCACCAGGTGTTTCTGCTGCTGAAATCCGCGAGTGTTAACTTATGTGAGTGTCACATTTTGTTTTTATTATTGTTTGTTTATCATTCTCTCTCCTCCCTCCTCCTCCCTCCACCCTCCCCCTACCATATAGTTTGTTGCATGAAAGCTGTTCTCAAAACACAAGTTGGATGTATGGACACTGACACCAAACTTTTAATACTCATTTGTAGCAGTTTTGTTATGATTCCAGGTGAGGGTAAAGAGTGACAAGACAAAATGGTGGGGTCCAGGTGAGGTCAAACCAAATTGTATCATCTTAAACGAAAAGGAGAAAAAAAAAAAACCAAATAAACTAGTTAGTAGATCTGTTGTATTAAAATTCTGAATTTTATTTGTATTTGTTTACTCCAAATCTGCTAGCCTTTGTAGATCATGTCAAAAGATTGTGTTAATTGCGAGCGTGCCATTATTGGTAGATAGTAATAAACCCTATAGTATTATAACAAGGGGCAAGTAAAATCTATTGTATCATGTTTTAAATTGGAAATCAATAACGATACGGGCAGATCCGGATTCGGATCCTCTGCTTGGATTTTCTTTACCATGATCTGCTTGACTTCTTTCCGCCACACGCCACCTCATTAAAATTTAATCCAATGGATTTAAAGTTGACACATCATCCTTAAAACAAAACCCTAATTTCCTCATAATTAAAAAAGAAAAAACAAAACCATAATTGACCTAACGTGAAATTAACCTTCTGCAACTGCTTGGTCTTTTTCCTTCTTCCTTTCTATGCAACGTCTGCCCCAAAATTCTCACCCTTGCCCTCTCAATCCAAAATTCAATCTTTCTTGTCGAAAACTAATTAGTTGGTGACTATAATGTTGTTTTGAATAATATTGATGAGTAGTACATCCTTTTATCTTTTATTCTTTTGATCTAGTGTAACTTGATTTTTTATTTTGGTGTGTTTATGGCTTTGCATTGAATTCAAGAAATTTTCAGAGAATTAAAAAAAATGGAATAACATAATAGGTTAGATAGAGAGCAAAACAATCTGTTATTTCCAGAAGAAAAAAAATAGCTACAGGCAAGCATTTGTCTTCTTTGCATTGATTTTAGGTTTTAGGCTTTGCAATTGATACTATAGTTGCAAGATTGGACATACGGGAGATTGGAAATAACTAATTTTCACAGGAGAAGAGGAGAGATTGTTGATTGGGAAGAGACAAAACGGCTGCAACAATACAAGTTAGGTTAATTATTCTTTTTCAGATCAGAGTGTTAAATTTTTTGCCTTTAGATCAAATTTAAATGAGATGGCCAGTGGTGAAGAGAAGTCAAGCAAATAATGGCAGAGAAAAACCAAAAAGAGGATCCGGATCCACTACCTGGATCCTTTGCTTTGATTTTCTTTGTCATGATCTGCTTGACTTTTGTGCTCCAGTACACGCCACCTCATTAAAATTTAATCTAAAGGGTTTAAAGTTTAACACAGCATCTTTAAAACAAAAACCCAATTTACTACTAATTAAAAAACAAACAAAAAAACCCCTAACCCAACTAACGACCTCTACAAGCTTTCCTTCCCCAAAACCTCTTTAATCTCCTCTTTCCTTTCTACAAGATAAAAAAAATAGAGTTTTTCTATTTAAACATCATACTCTTCTTTGTTCACCCCAATACTTAAATCATTAAGCTCTTAAATTTTATTATTGTGTAAAAAGACAAAAAAAGGTCATCCATCTTATTATTGTGTTTAAACCCCATACTTTTCTTTGGTTCCTGATTGCTCAAATTAAGAACATAATTCACTGCTATGCTATCAACAACAAAAAAACAGATCTTAATTTTTTTTTTTAAAACAACAAAAAAACAGAAACCACTGCCTGCAAAGTCTAGGCAATCATCGAGCTCTCTCATGATGACTGCTCTTCATTTGTCATTCATGAAGACATAAAGATACCCACTTGTAATTCTATCGCTATTATCTTCTTGACTACTTGTCTTCTTCTTTTTCAGGGAGAGTAATTTTTTTATTTGTCTTTTCTGAATTTGTAATTGTTTCCCTGAAGTTGCTGTTATCTGGGTTATTTATTATTCTTTATGGTATTTATTTGAAAGGATCCTCAGTAGTTGGTTTAGTATTTCTTCAAATTTTGGTTGCATTTTCCTTTTCTTTGGGTTCATATCATCTGGGTTCTTGGTGATTGTTAATTGCATTTGTGCAAATGGGTTTTTAGAGGTGACGTTAAGTTTTTTTTTTTCTTGTTGCATTAGTTTTCATTTTATTTATGTTCTTAAGGATTCTAGTAATTACTAACTTAGGTGCTTAAATTCATAGTGTTAATTATGCAATTTGTTTTCATTTGGTTCTGGACGACTGAGATAAAAATTTGGTGGCTTGATCCTAGTGTGGCTGTGGAAATTGATGGAACCCCAAGAAAAGAATGAGGAGAGCCGTTTCAGAAGATATGGACCAAGAAAAGACTGAGGTGCCTAAAACTCCTGCCGCACCAAACACTCGAGAAGGGCTCTGGCTGCTTCTGCTCGACATAACACCACACAGAAGGAGAAAGTGGGGTGTGGGGTGTGAGGCTGATGAGTTTTTTTTAATTATTTTTTTCTCATGGGAGTGTATTTAGGGGGTAATTTGGGAAGATAGTAGGGTTTACTTAGAAATTGTGAAAATTTGAATTAGAATTGGGCTGAACTTAGAATATGGGGTGAACAAAGAGAAGTGCGGGGTTTAAATAGAAAAAACAAAAAATATCTTCCCATATTGTTAGACCCGTTCAACCTTGACCCAAATGTACATAAAGAATATACTATTTTTATTACTCAAAACACAATACAATAACATCATTACAATACTAACTAAACTCCTAGTATATAGTCAGTTAATTGCTAATGCAAAAGACTAAAACACTCTTAGCATCCCATCACATATCCATTGTTTGAAGAGGGTGGTTCCAAAAAAAAAGTATTCCTTTGTTGTTTTCCTAGATAAAAGAGAAATCATGTTTCAATATCTGGATTCCGTGTTTGTTTGATTACATGCTTTTCTCTTATGTTTTGTCCCAGCCACATGCTCTTATTTATTGGTCCCTTCTACATGCTCTTCTATATTTTTTTGGTTTTCTTCCTATCTGTGCAACACTTCAAAACTTCCCCTTTCTCACCGAAACTAGTTGGTTTTCTGTCTGGCTTTGAATTGGATTTCAATGTTTTGGTATCATCAGGAGAAACAAATCAAAAAAAAGTCTAAAAGATCAAATCCAACAGGGCGTAGGGAGCACAGTAAAGAAAAAAAAAAGTCTCAGGATTACCGCAAACAAACCAACAAAAGAATACAAAAAGTTGTCTTTAATCAAACCAATACAAAATAAGAAAATTACATTTTCTCCCATTAAAAAAAAAAATTATTGTGCAATTGGGTGGAAAAGCTGCAGAGAAAGAAAGAAGAGAAAAACAGTTGAAAAGGAGGGATGTTGAAGAGAAAGGAGATGGAAAAAAAAATTGCAGGAGTTAAGTTTCTTGATAGTTCAATTAGGGTTTTTTTTTTGTTTTTTAATTAGTAGTAAATTAGATTTTTATTTTAGAGATGATGCGTCAAACTTTAAATCTCTTAGATTAAATTTTCATGAGGTGTCATATGAAGGTGAAAAGTCAAGCAGATCATAACAGAGAAAATCAAAACAGGATCCGGATCCCTTTTTTTTTTACCACTTAGTACTGTATATATATAAAATTCTATATATATATGTGGTAGAAAGAACATCATCTATATCCTCCTGTGTAGTGTAAGGGAACTAGTGTGTACCTTATTAGCTAGTCTCCTAATGGCATTGTATCCCATGAAAATCAAACAGCCAATTGCCCAAGGAGGTAGTTGAAAACGCGCGTTGGCCTCCTAAAAAGTAAAACAGCATGTTGAATTAATGGACTAGGTATGAGTGTGAGTAAGTTAAATTCAGAGAGATTTTTAAGCTGATGAAATGCATCATTCAAGAGTAAGTTTATCTAAACCTAAAGAAAACCTGAAACAGACTTTAACCATAGTTCCATAACAGCAGGCGATCAAATAACAAAACTATTTATAGTTCACGTATAGTTTCCATTTATTATTAATAGGTGAGATATCATACCTGTTCAGCAATGGCCTTCGAAACAATGGCTTTTGTGTTTTACTTGAATTCCTCCCACGACTCTTTGCATTTAAGAGGTATGATCAATGTTTTTGATGCTGGAAACTGTAGGAAGGGGAAAGTCAGAAAACCTTATATATGGTCTTACGAGAGAGAGAGAGAGAGAGAGAGAGCTGGAAGGCCGGCCCAAATTCAATGGGTCAAAGTCCGTTTTGGCCTATACTATATAGCCATGGGAGAGCTGGCCTTGCGTGGGGTAGGGATTAGGTCAAGTGTTTAAACTCAAGCCCAATGCGGCCCGGCCTGCTCAAATTCTAGGGACTGAAAAAATTACAATGTAAGTGTTTGTCTTGGACTGGGTTGTTGAAGAATATAATGAATGGTTCCACTACTAATATCACCGATGCCTTTTGTGATAAAACCCCACACCTACTGGGCTTTGTAGGTGGTTAAATTGGAGACAATATCTGTGTTGTTAGTAGTGGGCCGTTGGTCTATCTCTCTGAATTTAACATGGGTTTCTCCTTCAATGTGAGTGTCACATTTTGTTTTAATGATTTTTCTATCACTCTCCCTTCTCCTTCCACCTTACTATACGTATAGACACTAGTACTACTTGTATAGCATGCTTTTCGCCTCCACGGCTAGTGATTTTAACACTCCTCGTTTCACCTCCTACACTCCTTAGGTGAGTGTAGAAAGAAAAAAAGAATATTTAGTTTGGAGTGCAATTGGGTAAAACAAGAGCGCCAAAATTACTAGTTTGTGAGGGATTCTGGAATAGGTCTAGTTACATACTGAGTCGTTAACTTGCTCATTCATAATAGTTTTGTTATGATTTCAGGTGAGGGTAAAGAGTGAAAAGACAACTTAGCGGGCTTGGTGTGGTATGCTCTTGGAGAAATGGTTGCAGGCCCCAATCGACTCTATTTCAATCAGTATGTATCATCTTAAGAGAAAACTAAAAACTAAAAAATAGTTAGCTCAAGTCCCAAATAATTGACCCCAATTCCACTGGTTTTGAATACTAGAGTGGAATTGTTGTACTGTTGTATTATTAATTATGAATTTTGTTTTGTACTGTAACAAGGGACAACTATATGTGTTGTATTGTAATTTTGTATTTTATTTTGTATTGTTATTTCTTGTACAACTATATAGCTATCATACTAAACTTATTTATTTTAGTTTCTGTAACGATTTCTTGCAACTTAATTTAATCGATGTTAAATTGCAATTTTTTTAGTTAGTTTTAGAAAAAATATTTTCGACAAACTTTGTCTTACAGTACTTGCTTTGTTTTTCGTTTCATGTGTATGTAAGAAGAGGTGCAATTTAGGGAATGTGTATGTAAG